GTTAACCTTATTAAAGGGTTGTTAACTTCTTTAAAATGTAAACAAATCTAATTTTGTAGAGTTTTTTTTTTTTGTAATTTTAAAAGGTGGGCGGGTAACGCTTGAAATGGGAGAAACCTTTCAAGAATGACGTCAACAAGTATTAGCGTGAGTAGCTCTACCAAACGGAAATTCCCCGATTCTAAAAAAAAAAAAAGATTGTGACCTTAGAGTTTTGTAAACACCGCTATTTTCAAGTTCGTCACAACATAGGAGTGAGTAAAGGCCAGCTAGACCTGTGTGTGTGTGGTGTTGATATTTGTGTGTGTGTGTGTGTGTGTGGGAGGGGGGGAAGGGTCAGTGTGTGTTGGTGTGAAAAGGGTTAGGGGCGTTGTTAACTTTCCATGCCACTATAGTACTACAGTCAAGACCTTTTTTTTAACTGATCGTTATTCCAAGAATAGAAGAGACAGTGGGAAATCTAGAATGTAGAAAATGAACATAAAAAAACTTTCCCTTGCTGGTATTATCTTTGTCTAGTGAAACGGAGGAGAGAGGGGTGGGAAATCTAAATGACTGGGGAGCCTGAATAAAACCACGCCGACGGGTATGCATGATAAAAAACGATATCGTTGTTATGGTTAACAAAATCCATAAAAAACGTTTTAATAACAAGCTTTTATGTAACAATGCACTAAAAAGATATTTTTTCCCCACTAAAAATTATTTTCTTTAAATATATAATAATACACTACTATTTAAATAACTGTAAAGAAAAGCACGAGTCACTATATTATCTATTGGATACATACATTTACTACTATTTAGGCATCCAATTAAGTAAAATTTTATGTCAGATTGCATTGCCTTCAAGTCTTAAACCACGTGCCAACTTTGAAACCAATCTGACAATAAGAAGTACCCGAAATTTCGCTCGAGCGTTTCGATCTATGACGTCAGATTAACAGACTGTCGACAGACTGGACGAGGAAGTTAAATAAAAGTTAGTAAAAATACAAAAACGTATACTATCCAAAGAATATCACTGTGTTTAGTGGTAGGGAGTGTGGTATGCATCCTTAACAATAGCATAATATGTAACATTATAGACACCCTTCACTATCAGTGTTTCTTTCAAACAATTTTATTCAGGGGGGGGGGAATTGAAACTTTCGGGGGAGGGAGGGGCGGTCTTAAATTTCAGGGGGCTGGTTCAATTAAAACTTTTTTATAGTTCTATATATTCTATTTCGTTCGGGGAGGGGGTGTGGTAGACTTTCTATATATATGATCTGTTTCGTTGGGGAACGGGTTAGACGTACTCTCCCGGAGAGAAGAGATGCCTGAAAGAAACGCATTTCACACTCACCGAGATGAAACCCACACATTATAAATTATAAACCTATCCCCGAGAACCAAACACATACACGCGCATCAAATAGTGCATCACCAAGCAATACGTTGGTAGGCAGGTGGGGTAGGTGTTCAATGAGGCAGGTGGGGTAAGTGTTCAATACATGTAGTCGAACCAGGTCAACGAGCAGGTTTCTGCTATTGATTGACAGATGATGGGTAGGTGGTGCCAGTAAAGGTATTCGGTGCCAGGTCTGTTATTACACGGCTCGACATCAATTAAAACTTGCAGTAGTCTTGTTATAGTTTTAATACGTACAGGAGAAAAGGGAATATGGTGGTGCTGGAACTATTTACACCCCCGCCCTTCTGGAAGTTCTGCGTATAAAAAATGGAATTTTTTGTTGTTCGAAGTTGGTGCGGTGTGTGTGTCTAATGAATGAAAAGTGGAATGTGTGTGTGTGTTTGTGTGACGTGTTTGTGTCTTACTGATGTTTGAAAAATGGAAGGAAATTATATTTGAAAACGTGTTGTCTGCATATAATGTCACACTTCTGTGTTTAAAATGAATGCTTCAGTCACAAGAAACACTGATTCGAACTCAGGACTTTCGGGTTAGCTGTCTAACGCTCTACAGCTAGGCCAAACCGTCTCATCCATGTGCATTAAACAGAAGTCACGCTGATATATACAAATTAATTAACAGCAAGCAAACCCAAATACAGACTCTCTTAAAGAACCAAGTTTTTGCATAGTCTACATCGGACTGACGAGTTTCTTAGCCTGCTGACGATTTGCCCCCCCCCCCCCCCCCCAGGCATTCAATGGCAACAAAAGACGTCGGGTTTATCTGGCAACTCGTGTAGCAGCCGATAGATGCCGTCTGCTGGGTTCCTGGAAACTGCAGCCCCGCGCAATCATTGGCTGCATTTTTAATTTTCTCGCAGCTGACAATGGCCTTGAAAATCTACAATATAGAATCACACTTTCCGTGCAGAAAAAAAATAGAGGGGGGGGGTCGGGTGGTTGGACCGTTGGGGTGGGGCTGGGTGATGTGGAGGATGAGATAGATGGAGTCAAGGTTTCTTATATTGTTCTCTAAGGGGGAGGGTCATTTAAAATTTGCCGGGGGGGGGGGGGGGTGCAGACACTGGTTAAAGAATCTATGTTCCAAATAAATATTAGTGTATTCCAACTACGTTTTCTTAAATATCGAAATTGTGGTGTACTCGTGTGTGTGTGCGTGCGTGCGTGTGTGTGTATATGAGAACTGTTGAAAAAAAAAACCTAGGCAAAAGCCTATTGGCAAATAAATCCAAAGGCCCAAATGTAGAAGGATACACACCATACATAAAGCAACTTGTAACACCACTAGACAGGTACTAGATTAGTATCCCCGGGGAAAGAAGAATGTAGGTAGGCTAAATCAACCTTGGAAAAGGTCTGCTGGCAGTGAAGCAGAAGCAGGCGGAATGTCGTGGACCCAACTTGGAGGAATCGTCCAAAACCGTGTACGAAGGAAAGGCGTGGGTGCCTCCCTATGCTAAACAAGGGGCCCAAATGTATGTTGATAAAATTTATGTACGTGTCGTGTTTTTACTGTGAGACTACATATGTACATATTTTGAGGGTCCATAATGAGTTCTAACCCCCCCCCCCCCCCCACCACCACCACCACCAACAATCCCCTGACTTAGCCACGGGCTAGTACACCACACACTACCCATTTTCAGGTGAAGCGGCCTGTTCTAATTTATGCTGGGCATCAACGACAGGGCCGCATCAGGACGGGTGTAGAATAAAAGGCCGACATCCAAATGGCCGACACGGAGTAAATGCCGACAGACTATAAGGCCGACGGATCACATACCCCAGCCACGTTTTTTAATTAGTGTGGTTTTAACAGGAATGTTACCAAGCAATACTTTCAACTTAAAAACTCGCCTCACTAAAACAAACCAGTCCAAAAGTTGGGGGTCAATGACGCTGATGCCGTATCTCTCCTAGAACCTTCCATAACGGATGTTTTGACAACGTCATTTCCGGTTAATGAGATGAGATGTGTGAAATGGCGATAAGATTAAAAGCTTTATTGTCACAGTGTGTAAGGGACTACACTAATCGCATCACATACGTCATGCTGGGGAATTGAGCAGAGTTAAGCCCCTTTTACCACAAAAATATAGGCATACTTATTCCCCCTTCCATTGTCTTTTATAAGATCCAAACATTGTGTCAAATATATTCAGTAATTTAGGTGTACTGTGTGATACAAACCATTAACATATACTCAAATAATATTTTATTGTTTTATTAAATAGGTCTAACGTAATCTAATAACTAAAATTTATAAAAATTGTATTAAACTAAAATATTTTAGTTTGAACATAGTAGTAGGACATAATCATTAAATTAATTATAATTAAAATTTTGATTGTAACTTTAGTTATGTACTAGTTTTCATTAAAAAAGGGACTGTACAGCATATGGAAATAATATCCTAGCCCTGTTTTGTAGATTTTGTTAAATATTTAAGCCAAATTTTTTAAAATTCAAAACTGTTACGTTCAAAAATTATTATTTAAAATAAATTAGTTGTCCAAACTTAGCTCTATTTTAAAAACAAATTTCACTAAGCGGATGGACAGTTTAAAAAACGTTGAAGTAGTTGAGTTAGGAACTAAAGGTTAATGTGTTCAGCATTGCACATTATCTTTAAAAATTAATGAAGATAATGGCCAAAATAAAATAACTTTAAGATTAACAAGTTCAAGCGTCCAGAAATTACTTTTTTTCGTCACGAGTTTTCTAATTGCATTGGTCAAAATAGTGTGGCCTTGGCCAATATATAAAATATAGTGTAGACTTGGCCAATATACAGGGATGGACTAGCTGTGTCCAAGTGGCCGGGGAAATTTTTTTTAAAGCCAATTTATACAGTGTAGCCTTGGTCAATATGATTGTACAGTGCAACATTGGCCAATTTATACAGTGTAGCCTTGGTCAATATGATTGTATAGTGCAACATTGGCCAATTTATACAGTGTAGCCTTGGTCAGTATAATTGTATAGTGCAACATTGGCCAATTTATACAGTGTAGCCTTGATCAATACGATTGTATAGTGCAACATTGGCCAATCTATACAGTGTAGCCTTGGTCAATATGATTGTATAGTGCAACATTGGCCAATCTATACAGTGTAGCCTTGGTCAATATGATTGTATGGTGCAACATTGGCCAATTTATAGTGTAGCCTTGGCCAATATGATTGTATAGTGCAACATTGGCCAATTTATACAGTGTAGCCTTGGTCAATATGATTGTATAGTGCAACATTGGCCAATCTATACAGTGTAGCCTTGGTCAATATGATTGTATAGTGCAACATTGGCCAATCTATACAGGGTAGCCTTGGTCAATATGATTGTATAGTGCAACATTGGCCAATCTATACAGTGTAGCCTTGGTCAATATGATTGTATAGTGCAACATTGGCCAATCTATACAGTGTAGCCTTGGTCAATATGATTGTATAGTGCAACATTGGTCAATCTATACAGTGTAGCCTTGGTCAATATGAATGTATAGTGCAACACTGCCAAATCTATACAGTGTAGCCATCTACTGCCAAAAAGATTTACAGAAAGATTTTAAAAATATTCTTACCTTCGCAGTCATCACTGGGTAGAAAGACACCATCAACCATGTCCCCTAGGACATAGCTGGAGCCTATGGGCTCCATCATATTCCACTCCATGGTAGATACCTTTCCTCTTTGATCTCACACAGAAAGTACTGCAGGTGTTAGTTGATGTGAGGTATATGCAGGTGTTAGCTGATTTGAGGTATATGCAGGTATTGGCTGATGTGAGATATATTCAGGTATTGGTTGATGAAATTATTGTCAAACACTGAACTGTATTTAAGTAATGGCTGGTACCATGTTAGGTTTTTTAAAATATAAGTTGGCCCTGAAGGAAAGTTCTGCTGTATTTAAGTGTTAAGTACAGAAGTCCTATGAAAGTTCAGTTCACAGATTTTAAAGCTGGGCATTTTTAATTTCGGTGGACGTGGATTCCAGTTTGCTCATCTGAAACAGAAGAAGTAAAGATACAGTATAGTATCAGAGCAAAGTTTTAAGTGAAATACTGTAGCTATGTAATGTCACCATTAGGAACAATATTTCATCTGTAATTAATAAACACCAGTAAACATAATTTTTGGAAATGTTGGCAACTTAATCGTGTGGCAAAAGAAAGTCTAAGCCGAGCTAAGAAGAAACTAAATTTTATGTTAAATAAGCAAAGAAGCAAGAAGGTATTAAAATAAAAAAATAAAAATTCACAAAACTATCACTATTTATGAGTGTAAACCTGTTTCTATCAAAAGCCATCTACTAAAAAATGCTAATTTCATTAAATACAAATTCAAAAAATATATCAATTGAATTAATACACAACAATATATTTTTTTAAATATATAAATTTAATTTAACATTTAAAAAAAACATTCCTTTTAAATTGTAAAAGGCAAGCAACAGCTGCTCAGAAAACATCGTAACTACCTGAACACAAAATGTCACTGATAACTGTAACCAGTTTTTGTTTCCTTTTTCTTTACAAATAAGTTACATAACAGGAAAAAAAAAAATTAGTTGCATAACAAACTATTTTTAGATATTCAGACTGTGACCTCAAAACCAGAATTTTTAAAAACTGTCTTAGGGCCAGATACTAAAGTAATAAATTATTTTTTTTTACCTGCCAACCAAAGTAAAATAATTAGCTGAAACTGAAACAAAGAAACAGGCTTAGTCAGCTGTAGTTTGGGCACGTAATTATCTGTCTGACGTAATAACTTTAGCTGTCGGAAAAGCGCATTTACACTTCAAATATCCAAAAGTTGAATACATAACTTTTATTCCTAAACCAGTCCATTTTCTGATTCTGCATTTGCTTTTTCAAAATGATCTAAGCACAACACATTGTTAATGCAACTTAGAAAAAAAACTGATGAATTTGAAATTTGATACTTTAGCCAATCCTGGCATTTTTATAATTATCTGTCACACGATATTTCTCTATTTCTACATTTTTTTTTCTTCAAGCTCTAATTTATAGCACTGCCTTACGTGGCAGACAAGACACTGTAATTCAAACAAAAATGATTAGTTAGAAAATGCTGCAGTATCCAATCGCTGATTTATAGCATGATGTCAAATTAACAAGATAAAATTACCCTGAGGAAATTTTAAGATTTGAAGTTAAATTAGATTATTGGTAGTTTAAATTTTTAGAGGTATTTTAGATTCCTTTTTCTTGAGCATACTAATATGTGTTTAGCCTAGCTGTGTATGTGAAGCCTATTTTAATGTCTTTGGTTTAATGTAAAACAGGATGGGTGATTAAATTTTAAATATAACAAATAAAACTCTTTGTTTAAGACATAAATATCTCCACCTTCAAGATTGAGCTGTTATGGAATATAGGAATATAAAAGATTATAAGTTTCAGAAACATGTATCCACTTTTCTTTCAATCAAATGACTAATTACTGATAATGATACTTCAATTTCAACCTTAAAACCAGATTTAAGGCAAATGGAATGTTAACCTAAGGAGTCATCGATAAAATGCCTCAGATTGTATAAATGATTTTAGCCCAATCATTAAAATAAGTCACTCAACCCTCTTAAAGACCACCACCAAATTTCAGACCCCCCCCCCCCTCGAAAAAAAAAAATGAAAATTGCATCTTTTTTTTAACATTTAATTTTATTTTTCTAAAAAAATTGAGTACATTAATCAATTTTATAACATTTTACAAAAGTCATTTTGCAACGCAAAATAACTACAAACATTACTGTTATAAATGCAAATATGTCTCACTTTATTAACCCCCCCCCCCCACCTCTTCCACCTCATTGTAAAAGCCTGACCCCCTCCCTTTCCAATTGTGACATCATTTATTGATGCCCCTAAGACTTATTAAAGATATAATTTCATTATGGGTGTGGCTAATAATTTGATGACTTAAAAGTGGTAGAGTCATATGTGAAAGGTATCTTTATTTTCTTTTATTTATTGCTCACCTGTGGTTTATTGATTAGGGATTTTTCAATTCCCCTACCTAACACCCACTTCCTACACCACTCACAATATCAGAACAGCCTTTTGAAAAAAAAAAACAATTGCCAAATTTTTTTTCTAGTTCTACATAAGATCATTATTACACAAGTAAATAAGAATAAATAAATAAATTAGCTTGAAATACAGGCATGTAGCATTATTCAGTATTAGGGCCTATTTCAAATTCTAAAAATATTTTTTCCCAAATTTGACACTAATGATCACTAATGTCTGACACTGTGAAAAAAAATATGAAGAGGCTTGAAAAGTAATGTAGTGTAGTAGTGTAGAATCTAGTAGGCCTAGCCTAATACATTTTTATTTCATTTTAATACCTTTTTTTAGCCTTTATAATAATTGTGGCCTATTAGATCTAGATCTAGTAATACTAATAGTACTAATAGTATTACACTTACTTAGGCCCACACTTCCTACAGTCAACTCAAAAGTATTACATTATTTGGACTTTTAAAAAATATTAAAATAGGTTAGGGACTAATAAAACTAATATATTTCAATAGGATAACTAACAGAATACAAATTATACACATTATGATAAAAAGTTTGTCCACATTTTATGAAATAGTTTATGTTATATACTACACTCACGCACGTTTTCTTAAGTAAATAAAACAAATACAGCTCTAGTTCACCAGTAATTAGGTATCAACGTCACCGTGTGTAAAATCAGCCAACATTTTTTTTTAGCCTTTGGGACCTACGTTAGAGCCTTACAGGCACTGCCCGGATGTCAACAAATATACATGCAATCTAAATATAGAATTCAAGGTCAACGTAACTATGCTGTGTCGATCGCGATTCATTCTCAAAGTTAACTGGGTTAACAGTCGCCTATTCAGTTTTTCACCTGCAATTAAAATCTTGATTTCTGAACTTTAAGTTAATGTTTTTGAAATTATTGTGGGGAAGCATAAATATCGATAGCACACGCAACGCTATTTCACGTTGGGACCCTGACACGTGAATACCTAGTCACGTTATCACAAGCGGTGTACGTAGAAATGTTTCAGTTGCGTCCCTTTAAGAATGTTGAGTACACGTTATTTGTTGTCTTTTTTCCCCCAAAATATTATAGTAATTTTTTTTGTATGTTTTAACAGTTAATTAGTGTAAAAATTTTATGGAAAATTCGCTTGAGTAGGCATAATGTCATTTGCTTAACATATATACATTTACAAATATTTATATAAAGGTCTAGTCACGGCCGTCCATAAACGAAGTCATATTCTAAGTCATGCGTGTTGGGGAAGTTCGGGGCTGTGTTATATGAAGTTTGGGGGGGGGGGGGTGAGTGGAGAGAATATGAGACATCATAGTGGATAAAGAACCGTACAAGTCTAGAGGATATATAAATATATGTGCCTACTTGTAGCCTAAAGCCCTATTATATTGGCCTACGTATAACCATATATATATATATATATATATATATATATATATATATATATATATATATAAATTTAAAATGTGCTGAAATGTATCACATTTCAACCTCATAACATTTATTCGTTTTCCTCACTCTTAATATGATCCGTGTTTTACCTGTGTAGAATCGATACGACATTGACACAATAGCACTGACAGAAAACACACCTTTCAAAACTAGGTCACAGTTCTGTGAACTTGAACTTGGTCTAGATAAATTCACACAGTAGATGTGTAGTTTGTCTAGTTTATAATTACATCTATGTAGTAATTCACTTTGTTTAATTCACATTAAATATTAATTTAAAAGCTTAGCACTAATTTTAGTTTATGTCGACTTTAATTACGCAGCTGCTCAATAAATTAACTTCAGACTGACGAGAAAAGGAATAGATAGATTTTATAAATTTAAATTATGTAGAGTAGCCTAATATTAACTCTCCTTACTTTTAATCAAACAGCTGCCAATTTCAGTATAATATGATTTGGTCTAGACCTACTCTTGTGGATATATATCTAGAATCTGTCATGATGTAATATTTTTAGCGCGATCAGCTGTCAATTTTTTTTCTCTTATAACTGCTCTTACGAGCATGACTTCAGAATCAGAGCTAAATTAGCCTATGTTTATAAAAACTAATAAATAATTAAAGTATAAAAGTAAGCCTACGCTGAAATATCGATATTAACTTACTGCCCACATGAGCTGTTATCTAGCGTAAATACAATGCTAATTACTAATTCTCATAAAGTTTCATAAGTTATGATAAGAGACATTCAAACTATAAAATATTGCCAACATACCCGACTGCATAACGGTAGTACTAGATCTAGACTAGTAGGCCAATAGACGCATCAACAAGTGCTAAGTAGCCTATTGAATCTTTAGTAGACTATACAAATACAAGAGCGCACTTGGGTGCGGGCGGACTCAAAATTGTCTTATAAGTTACTGAGTGCTGGGCGTGTGCCGCATAGATCTAGAATCTAGCAAATCGCAGTGGCTTTCGGGATAAAAGTGACATTGAGCAGTCTCTAAAAAAAAAAAAAGGGGGGGGGGGGACGACGACGACGACGACGACCAAGTACCACTACCAGTCTCCCAAATCTAGATCTAAAATCAGAGTAATTCTCAGTCTCAGTAATGTTAGTCATTATCTAAGCAAACAGGGGTCCAATTTGCAAGCGATTTTAATGTAGAACTAATTAGACCCTAATAGCTGAATACTGTTAATAATTTGAAACGGTTAAAAATGTAATGAAATGGGTCTATTCTAATAAGTCATTACTTAATAGGATTATATTAATCTTGTCTAGTAACATGAGCCCTTGTAAAATACCATCTTGTTTTGCTAAGGGCATGTTGTAATTTTTATTTTTACATTTTATATTAAAAACCTTGACGGAAAAATAATAACGAACCGCGAGCCAATTTTTTTCGACTTTCACTGCTTGTCGATCACGGGCTACTGACAAGTAAACTTTCTAAGTCTAAGTAAACTTGTAACTCACTTGCTAATTTTGATATGTATTAAGGACTATTTTTAAAATCTTTTAGTCTAGTTAGTATTTTAATCTAGATCTAGTTATTAATATTTTGATTAAACGTCGCCGTATTTCCATGAGTTTGAGTTGCGCTACGCCACTACGGCTACCGTAGCCGCTACGGGAGGGAGCTAAACAGCTGAGCTAGAGAAGAGTAGATCAAAAGATCTAGCTTACAAGAGCTAGATTCTAGTTATTCTAGTATTAGTACTAGCTTGTCATGACTAATTAGACTAGAAATGTATGATCTAGATCTAGTCTATTCTCAAGCTAGAGACAAACTAAGTCTAGAGACTTTTGAAATTATCAAAAATAAATCTCAGGCATACAGACAGAGAAATGTTTCCTAATTTTATAACTATTTTCTATTAATTAATTATCACAGAATAGCCTAATTATATATTAATAAAATAGTCTACTAGTCTAGAAATCTAGATTACAGCCCAATCTGCAATATAGGATAGTAATTATGCCTAATTACTAGTAATTAGCATGCCTAGGCCTAAGTCATTTAGTAGGCCTATTTCAAAACAAAGATACTCTCCCATAGTCTCACTCACACACTATAATAGACTATAGTATAGGGCAGTATAGTATATAGACCTACTTACTTCTTATAGTAACCATAAGTATAAGCCAGCCTAAACCTAAATATGTGTGTATATTTTAGGCCTATAGGCCTAATTAGATATTAAAATGTATAGGGCAAATTGTATAGGCCCTAATAATAGTAATTTGTAGGCCATAAAATCTAAATACTAAATAAAGCCTAGGCCAAGTTTTTAAATTTATTATTGTTTATTTTTTATGTTCTGGATAGAACTGGTTCTACTCTGTCTCTTGGCTATATCTTTGTAAATTTGCATTTCAAGTTAGAAGTTAGTGGCTGTGTTTAGGTTTGAACACGTTTGTTTTTTAGTTGTTGTTGTTATTTTTAAGATAAAGGCAAATGATTACAACTGGCACATTGATGCTAGATAATATAGGTAATATAAATGTTCCAGTAAAATTTAAGTTACCAAAAAAAAAAAAGTCCTATGTCCAACTACAAATAATAAATTACTTTAAGAGACATGTTCTGGATAGAACTGGTTTTATATCTCTTTGTAAATTTGCATTCAAAGTTAGGCCTAGTGACCATATTTAGGTTTGTATATCTATTTTTATTTATTGCTATTTTTAAGATATATGCTAATGATAGAACTCTGCAGATTGATGCCAGTTTATGTAGATTTAAGAAAAATGCAAGTAGATTTTTAAAATGAGAAAAGTGACCACACTCAATTGGCTATTTAAGTGACATGTTCTGGATAGAACTGGTTCTGTTTGAAAAACTGAATCCAAAGTTAGTGACCATGTTTAGGTTTGCATACTTTTTGTTGTTGCTATTTTTAAGATATATTAATTAAAGTAGGCCTATACACATTGATGCTAGAGAAGGTAGGTATTAAAAACATGCTAATAAAATTAAAAGATGAGAAAAAGAACAGGCCTACAAATAATTGAATAGATTTGAAGGGCATGACATTGTAGTTCTATAAGCCTAATGACTGCCATGTGCCAGCAAGATAAAGGTTGGAGGTACAAAATTTGGTTACAGCATAGGTCTATGTGCATTTAAAAAGGTTATGATATAAACTGAAAAGTTGGCTTTATTTCATGCTTTTTAAAAGACTGTTTTGTTAGGTAAATAGGAATAAATAGTAATCAATTACTTGAAAGTGAACTGGGTTCATTAATTTAATCTAGGCCTAACTATTGTTCATTTAAAGAGAAAAATCTATCGGTCCTAGGCCTATGTACATTAATATGTATTTAGGCTATATATTATTACAAAATGTACAACTATACATAGTTAAACAAATATACAATATATAGGCCTACATAGATTTCTAACTTCATTTTTGTTTTTTTTACATGTATACTTTTATGTGATCTAAATTCATCTAGGTATCATGGGAACAAAATTCCGTAGCAATTATTAAACATCACTTTAATTTCACCTAGTGCTTAACATATATATATATATATATATATATATATATATATATATATATATATATATATATATATATATATATATATATATATATATATATATATATATATATATATATATATCTGTTAGATGGAACTTTGTTTTATAATTAAAGGGAATAGGTCAAAATATAATAATACAAATACAAATAATTTTCTTAAAACTGTTCTTTTTTTTTTTTTTTTGACTTACCATTTTGAAAATTAATTAAAAGTAAAAACAAAGAATCCTCTTTATACCTAGCGATCCATTGGGAAAATGAAGCAGAGTTCATGTTTCTTGACCACAGCATTTGAAGAGATGGTATGGTCAGCATTCAGCCACATTTACATTCCCCAACAAAAGTCAGGTACCCATCCGAGCTGGATGGACCAGGGGCCATCTTACAGTCACAAGTCTGTACTGAGATACTAACCTGCAGTTTGGGCTAGCAGCCAAACACTCTACCATTCAACCATGCCGTCCCTAATAATTTTAATACAAGCTTACCTATTTTAAAAATACTTCAGTATTTTATTTCAATTAAAGGAACAGTGGTGTTTAAATATGATACATAATGCTGTTTTAATAGCAATTTGACAAAGATACTACTGTATAACCTATCTTATTTAACTAATAGTTTAATGTTAAACCTGTAATTTTTCATAGATTTTCTTGTATGAAGTCAAAGTGAAGTAGCCATCACAGTTGTATTGACAACTTGAATTTCAATCTACACTGGGTGCTGAGCAGCTACAATAAATTCTTGAAATTAGAAACTGCTGACTGAAGGTAAAATAATTGATTAGCTTCCTAATACAATAAAACTATCTGAAAATATCTTCAAATCAAAACCTCCTAAACCACTTCTCTTTCATTTATTTAATTCACATTGTATTCCACTATATATTTTAACTATGTAAATATCATTCTTTTATTCCACATTTTACTATTATGACTTTAATATTTAAATGCTTATATATTAATGTCGTTAATATGTTTGTTAATAACGGCCAGTGTGAAAAAAATTTGGATACCAGATATTTTGCAGTTACTGTGACTGTTTTATTGTAGACCTACTATAATCTGAGTTAGAAAAATAAAATGAAAAGAATTTTTTAAACCTCAATTACAATTTTTTTTACCAAGTTTTCATTAAATTTGGAGTGTGGAAAATACAGCAAATTTAATCGGTATGGTTGAGTCGGTAAAGCTCATTTTTGCTAAACTGAAAAGTCTTGAGTTCGAATCCTCTGGCAGATGAGGCTCGTTAGCTGGGGACAGCCACTCTTCTAGGAGAGACAACTCCAAAATCAAACAACTGCTGCCTTGTAGTTTGTTCTTGGTTGGACAAAAGCTATGGAAGCAAATCCAAAAAGAAAAGCAGGCTGAAATCGGAGTCAATGGCCTCAATGACGCATAATCAGTTGACACGTATACTGAATTGTGTTGGAGGGGATCCCTTCCAACACTAAAATCAAGAACGAAGTAGAAAAATCAAATTGAAAAAATTTTAAGTCATGTCACTTAAATCTTACAATATTGTGGATCACCTACCCCCTCTTCTAAATATGTTTAGATCGCCACCAATGCCTTCCTCCACATTTTTGTGTGATGATTTTTACTTTCTCGTATATACGAAGTATAGAGAAAGTATTGTAATCGTGCAAAAAAAAAAAATCGAGATTTTTACAAATCTCGACGTTTTACACCTCACTGATACGGAAAAACATAATTTTGCAATCTTGTCCGTATGTCTGTGTGTGTGTGTGTCTGTCCGTGTGTAAACACGATAACTTGAGTACCGTTACAGCTAGGTGGATGAAATTTCATATATAGGTATTTTATCAAAATCGTAGATCCGTATCAACTTTTGAGCGATTTCCGATAACCGGAAGTGGTACTTTTCCTACTTTGAATTTTTCAAAAGCCTATAACTTGAGTACTATTTCAGATAGATAAATGAAATTTCACATGTAAGAAAAAGATCTAATTCTCTACCATCTGTTAAATTTTGAGTAATTTCCGTTGACTGGAAGTAGTACTTTACGCTACTTCCGATTTCTCAAAAAACTAATGTAAATTTTAAAAGTACTAATAATATTGCGCACTATTATGCGCTTTTTTATTTGGCGTTCACTTGGTGTGCAATTAATTTGTCTACGAGATTTTATTCTATTTTTAAAACTTTAAGTATTTAAAATGGATTAAAAATCATGTCTATAGCCCGAGTTCCCATCCCCTGTTATTTTATATAAGAATATTCGAGAAAGTTTAGGGGAGATCACTCCCGGTTTATTATGTTAATAAAGTTTAGAACTGGATAAACTGATATTTAGCCTGTATACACCTTGACAGTTGTTGTTATGCTGTCATAAAATTGAAAGCAGCTAAGTTAGTCAAGAAAGCAGTATTCCATTTTTATGTAACTTCGAATGTGTAGCATTCAGTAATGCAGCTGAAAATGATTTTTTTATTATTATTATTTTTTACCCTGTTTAGCTCGCCTGTGGCCGCTGCCCCAACTGCCCTCCCCTAGCTACTCCTCTGGGCCAGTGATGAGTGCTCAAATGTCATTCCCTTTTTTTTTTTTTTTTTTTTGCCAACACGTTGTTATATTAATGGTTGTGTTAAAAAATAATCCTTTAGTTGTAAAATTGTCCAAGTTTAATTAAAAGGTGATCTCCCCTTAAAAACTTTGGAACATATTTTAACATAATATAAATATAAATGCACCAGAACACTTACTGAAGGATTATCAAAATACTGAACCACACAGTATAAAAATAACTTGGTTACTGTGGTGGGAATACTTCAAATAGATGAGATTTTACAGTAATTGTTTAAACAAAATGGCGTTCTTGAAAATAGATTTTTAAAAAAATACTAATCAGGTAACTGTTAGAATCTAAATCAAAAGAAGGGAACTAATTCAGTTTAATACTTTAAATTTGTATTTGCAACAACTGTTTTAAATCTTACCTAAAAAAAATAGGTAGGAAAGTTTGTTTGGTGATTAACAAGAAAATGTTGCTGTATTGTAAGGCCTATAGCAGGGCTATACAATAGTATACATTAAAATGTGTGTATGGACTTAACGGTGATTAGAATAGACAGACTGATGCATACAGTCTATATTTATTTACATACTGATGAGTACTTGTGGTTACTTACTGTACATACTCTTGAAGTTTATTGATTGGAGAGTGTACTCACTGTGTGCGCATCAAGCAGACAAAAGAACGTAGAGCTATTATACAAAACCTTGTGTCGACATCTACTTACCCCGTGAGAAAAAACGGTAAAAAAAAACAACAGCTAGATCTAGATTTTAAATAGCAACTAACTTGAACTTACTCAACAAACGAACGTCTCAATGCTCAGGTCATCATCCGCTAGGTCTAGTTGCTGACGAGCGAGGGTTTGTTGACGAGCTGAGGGGGGACGGGACTGGGTGGGCAAGTCTGTGGACCCAATGTGGCCAGTCTCACTACCACACGGCACCACATTCATTACCAAAGTACCTTTCCTTTGTTACACGTTTTCGTGTCATGTAGATCTACATCCGACCACTTCTAATTATAGATGATACAGTCTCATTAGGCCTAAGTATCAATGGTTTAGGAGCTTTGTTTATTAAAGGGAGGCTACTCTGATACGTCTCCACGTGCAGTGACGCGCTCTTTGCGCTATACCCGCGCGTTCAAAACACTGCCTTTTGTCTATAGGCTAAAAGTTAGCCGTAGTCAATGGTATCAATTTGAAAAAAATAATAAATCATTCTAGCTCAATGGTTCTGAACTTTTTTGGAAGTACCACACCAGTTTCATAAGCGCATTCACCGAACTCTTCTTTATTGTTTTATCGTCCGCACTGACATATTTCTGTCGGGTGTGTGTCTTGACCTCCGCCGAACCCCTGAGACAGACACACCGAACCCCTGGGGTTCGATGGAACCCAGGTTAAGATCCTCTGATCTAACTGGTTAACTGACACAGACTGAGATGAAGGGCGGGTTGTCAAAACAAGACGGTGGTTTAAAAAAAAACTGCACTGGAATGGATGCAAGTGGTTTCAAAGTAAAAGTGTGTGAATGGCTCTCAAATGTGCTTTATAATATAAATAACGGTAGGAATCAGGATACGGTCAAACCTCAGTTCATGTAATGTGCAGCTACGCTTGTTTGTTTCGCCTGAATGTAGGTCCATATCGTACATATTTGTGTGTTTCAAGTCAAGCGAACTCAGCCTTTAAGGTTTGTGTTGAGGTGGAGGGTGGCTAAATATAGCCCACATATATATAAGGGTGGGATAGACTTCCGTGTACCAGGATACAAATATACATTTCAAATATTTAAAAATGGGCCAACTTATTTCATCTTTATAAGGTCCACGTTTGATAGGTTCTTAATACATTTACCCTAATTATTTTGGGGAGGGGCGTGCAAGTCACCCCTGGCTCCCTCTATGACGCCTGTATATTTTATCTCATCGGCGTCAAAATGTTCTCGAATTGGTGAGCACGTCAAAAATGCCTGCGAATTTATATACGGATCCAGACTTCAGGGCTCCCGACTAAAGGGCTCCCAACACGATGCCTTATCTTATTATCTATATCACAGTCTGTTCATGAACGTTCTACCGTGCATTGAGACTTGCGCGATTTGACAGAGTACTTCTGCTAACATACTTGTAGATCAGCCTATATATCAGCTAGTATGGCTGCTATTAAGAACACTTTAAAGACAGAGAACTTCTGATAAAATACTTGTAGATTAGCCTATATATCAGCTAGTATGGCTGCTATTATGAGCACTGTAACGACAGAACTTCTGAGAACATACTTGTAGATCAGTCTATATATCAGCTAGTATGGCTGCTATTATGAGCACTGTAACGACAGAACTTCTGAGAACATACTTGTAGATCAGCCTATATATCAGCTAGTATGGCTGCTATTATGAGCACTGTAACGACAGAACTTCTGAGAACATACTTGTAGATCAGTCTATATATCAGCTAGTATGGCTGCTATTATGGACACTTCAACCCACCACTTGCCGTAACCTCGAGGTAGACAACTTTAAATGATTGGATTTGTCTATTTTTGGTGCTCGATCAAATGACAGATGTACATTTAAGATTAAATTAAAATGTATTTAAAACTATTTTTTGTATGTGTGCCAGTAATTTGAAACGTTTGATGCTGGTTCCATTATTTCCATATAAAATTTTTTTTTTTCTGTCAGGGGTTGGTAATAGGTAGAATATCTCCATTGTCAATTCTTGTCTTACAAATATGTGGGTAATGCAAAGCACTGTGAACTTTATCTAGTTGATTATTTTTAAATTTTATTTTCTGGTTCAACGCGGCCTGAATTTAATTAGAAATTATTGTAAGGGATCGTATACGATTGACGTCATGCAAGATTACTCCCCCCCCAACCCCTATCCCTGATTTTCTATAGGGCGCCGACGAGAAACCTTACAGCGCCCCTGTAGATGATCCAGCAGATTCTGGAATTCTTCTAACAATGTCATTTTCTTACCAACTTGCGCCATAAACAGCTAGCGCAAATTTTAATTAAGTTATAAAAACAACATAAAAATGGAAGGCGTCAAGGGAAGTAATTAAGGAAAATCGATTCAGCAAGGAGTGTGGTGGTAGACCAGTGAGTCTCAACCTGTGGGGAGTGGGTCTCAACCTGTGGGGAGTGGGTCTCAACCTGTGGGGAGTGGGTCTCAACCTGTGGGGAGTGGGTCTCAACCTGTGGGGAGTGGGTCTCAACCTGT